GCTGTATGAGCTTTACAACGACATGGATATAGTGCAGCGAGTGAAAATACAGCGGCTCCACTGGCTTGACCATGTCGTTCGAATGGACACCGATGCTCCAGCTCTGAAAGTATTCTGGCCAGTGTTGCCAACTTTTGTTTTTCAAAAAGCACCAAAAACGTGGAAAAAAAGCGTTTTGCCACACTAAAAGCACCAAATGGTTTTGAATCAATGAATGCTTTTTCCATAACAGTTTGTATGTATTTAACAAAAACAAAAATTTAACAATATTTACAAGATTGCATACATAAATCAATAAACAAAACTTTTTCGCTCATTACGACTGAAAAGCCACATGCTATAATGACTCATGCTTACGACGTAATACCGAAGTACTGCGCATTAAAACTGATATATCTCAAGAAAGAAAAATCGAATCCCAACCAATGAAAATCATGCTCTCAGTAGAAATGAGCAAACAAATTTATGTTTTCATTATATACCCTCAAATATCGCCAAAAACCGGGATTTTGGCTCTTTGAGGTTAGGATATCTCAAAATTCTAGTGCTAGAGTAATTGTGCGGCCAGATTTGGATTCAGCACCAAGAAACGATTGGGGTATTCACAACGGTGAAATAAACGCCTAAGAAATATATTAAAGGAGTTCGCAAAGTACCAACAAAGTCATATTATGATTTTTTGTTGTGCTAAATAATAGTTGGTTGACGTTTAAAGTTCTCTAAACATTTATTTAAGCTTTTAAAGTTTACGACATACAACAATACGACACTTACGACACCGTTGTGAATCGCTCAGATGTGTTTTACTCGGGTGGTACAAAAATAAAAATTTTTACTAATAATTTGAAAAGAAAAAAAGAAATACTTAACTTACTCGCATATCTACTAGCATTTTCAAGGCGAATATAATTGAACAAGGTGGGTTTGCAAGGTCAGCTTTTTATCAATCATGGTTGTATTTACGTGCATTTAAATTTGTAGATTTTTGTCAATTCAGTACTGGCACAGCTTTAAATATTAAAAAATTATTTCAGGTCTTGACTATATCGAAGTAATTTTAGTTCAGAAAAAAAGCACTAAAAAAGGCACTAGGCACTAAATAATTTTTTTAGGCGTTTTAATTTTCAAAAAGCACTAAATCTTGTGCTTAAAGCACCAAGTTGGCAACTATGATTCTGGCTTCACTTGGTATTTCCAATTGGCGTCAGTTGGCACAGAAGACAAACGACTGGCGTGCTTTGTTGAACTCGGCCAAAATCGCTTTGGCGATTACAGCGCCAAATAAGAAGAAGAAGAAGAGAATAGATCTATAACCTTATCAGTCACACAGTGTTATAATCTAGACGAAATCCATGACGGTGGAACGGTACATGACGGTAGGAAGCTTAGTTTGTGCTAAAGTCTCACACTGACGGGGTTAGGCTTTCGATGATTCCTCCTCGTAAAATAAACATACGCAGTAAAAAGTTAACTATTTAAATCGAAGACTGGTTTTATATCAAATTTTGTGAACTTCTGTTTATGTGTTTTTGTACAACATATTTAGCTCTATTGGTTACCATGATTTTAAGCTATAATAAACAATTTTTTAGTAAGTAAGTTATTGGTTGAAATTTATTTTTTTTTTGTTATATGGGAAACACCGAAAATGTCAAAAGCAAAGCAAGAAAGTTGAAACGACTTGACGGTACAGACGCATGTGTACTCGTCCCTTTTCTTCTCACGCCCCTCTTTCACATGCGAGCATAATTGAAAACAATACTTGTACCCCTATTCTGCAACTTTTTCGTATTCGGATTTTGCTACGAATCGTAGAAATAGTATGCTGCAATCCGAATCGTATTTTCGAACTTTCGAAATTCGTAACAAGGGCATGCCTAAAAACGAACGAGTAAGCTTTTTTGCGCAATTTTGTACGAAAACAATTCTGTGTCGGAGGTGAAATAAAAGATGTAAATCGATGTGTGTTTACAAGAAATATTGGTGGTTTTCATTTAAACAGATAAACTTGCCTTTCACATATACGTATATTTTTATCCACTGCTTTATATAAACGAGCAAAATAAAATCTTTGTTGCCCCTCATCGTAAAACTTGGGTCCGGTTTAATTATTTCTACAATGATTTTCGGTTGTTGTGCCCAAACGCATAACCCGAATCCAAAAACTTTAACATACACGTATAATCAAAAGATACACATTTTATTTAAGACAAATGTTTCCAATTTCCTACTAAACTCGGTTTGCACTATGCACTTTTTTGCAAATTTCGACGTGGGTTCTGCGCAAAAATACTGTGAACGGCGTAGCCGGAGTGATATGCCCAAGAAATGTTGTATACCTTTGACATGCGGAAGCCCCTCTTCCCCGCAACACAGAAAGGAGAATTCTACTTAGTAAGGGTTATAATCCCTAAACGCGGCCGAAGGCAGAAGCAAGCGCAACAGGTGGAGGATCTAACAAAGTGCATGTTTTCAATGGCTTGGAAGAAGCTGTTATTGCATTAACTGGATTGAGAACCAGAGCTTCAGGCATAGGAGGAGTTCTGGCTTGTGGTTTATTAATTCAACCAGAAGCTGACATAGATGCGCCCATGGTGACTATGCCCGACAGCTCCGCATACCTTTGTGAATCCATTGCCATAGCGCCCTCTTACTCTGCTGCCTATAATTGCAAATGCATCAGAACCCATAATTTTCCTCAAAATATGTAAAATTAACCAATTTTACAATAATCAAGCACATGATGAGTGTTTTTTTAATTCCTTTCCACTTTGTTTTCCTTCATTCAGGTATCTTCGAAAAACAACTGATAGCTGGCAATGCTGCACATGTTTCCGCAAGGGTTGCAGCATGTGGATTTTTCGTTTTTCTAGCGTAGCTACGCCCTTCGGCAGGTAATGGCAATGAATGTATCCCTGTCATGAAAAACAGCTTCTCTTAAAAATAAAATCGCCGTTCGGAGTCGGCGTAAAACTGTAGGTTCTTCCCCTTTGAGTGACCACACCAAGGCGCACGCCAAAAAGCGGAGGAGAAGCTCAGCCAAACACGAACACACATAGTATGTGTAGGCGCTAATCTATCAGATATCATTGGACAATAATGAAAAGTAGAAAATTCTTGGAATGAAAACAGATTAACAAAATGATCAGATTCAGTACTTTCTCTGTTTGTGATTTCTTGTGATTTGCTTTAATATTTTTAAACCTTTTCGAGGTATTGCGTATTTACTAGATTTTTGCAACAAATTCATTTAATCATTTGAAATCGAGTTGTTGGTGTGTAATACTTTTAATGCCACCGAAAAAGAATATAGGTATATCTGAATCTATGATCTCCGATTAACTTTTTGCATCAGAAATTTTGTTTTGCCTTAATGGCTTCTGCGTCTACCTTATGCAAACTGTCCACAACCACCTTTACTGCTCTGAAATAGCCATCTTAGCAAGTAATTTTCGGATATAAGAGCCGAGCAAATTGCGTGAAATTCAGACACTTTATCCGGGGAAGTCATTTATAAAAATCCCGGTTAATAGAACATGTGGGGCTTATACGAAAAACCCGCTTAATGAAACATTTGGGACTTATATAAAAAACCGCTAAATGAAGCAGCCGCTTTTATAAAAAAAAATTTAATACACAACGTACTTGTATTAATAAAGTAAAATTATGTATTATGTTATGTAAGTTACAACGTTTTGAAAATACATGTAGAAACAATGTTCAAACTACATTCATATTTATACATGCATACATGTGAAATCTTAAAGAATACATTAGGGTGGTCCAAAAACAGTAAAGTCGGAATTGTAATGCTCTCACCCCCTAGGATTGTACTATGTCGAAAAAAGTATACCCCTATTTTTCTATTTTTAAATCAAAAAATATTTAGAGGTCGCCCAAAGCGCTCAAAGCTTTCCATGTATTTTTATATGGGGAAAATAAATTTTTTCGTAGAAATGGTATAGAATTCTTGAAAATCAATATTTTTCGATCGGTAAACTCTGGTTCTCTTCAGGAGACTTTCAATAATAATACCCAATTGTTTATTTAACCATTTTTAATACTAACGATTTTTTATTGGTCGCCCCATAGGATTTTTTGGGGTTTCTGTGGGTTTTTGGCGGACCTGTAAATTACAGTTGCGATGGAAAAATGGTTAAACAAACAATTGGGTATTATTGGGAATCTCCTGCAGATAAACAGAGTTTTCTGGTAGAAAAATATTGATTTTTAACTATTCTATACCATTTCTACGAAAAGTTGTTTTTTCTCCATATAAAATACATGGAAACCTTTGGGCGCTTTGAGCGACCTATAAATATTTTTTGATTTCAAAATAAAAAAAATAAGGGTATACTTTTTTCGGTATAGAACAATCCTAGAGGGTGAGAGCATAAAAATTCCTACCTTACTTTTTCACATGCATTTTTGGACCACCCTAATGTACATATACTACCCTGCCCTGTATAATGTATTTTTGTTCTTTTATTCGAGGATTTTTGTATGAATTTCATCAAATGGTTCAAACATTTGCAACGTTATAAGAGGGTAGTTCATAAAAGCGCGAAATACATTAACCGGAACTTTTTGTGTATATTGCATATAGGAATTTTTGTTGATCTAATTTTGTTACCTTATAAGCGTCGAATAACTGGGTCAAAAATATGCCCGCGTAAGTTTTATTTATGTAGTCATAACAAACATCCAAGACTTCATTCAATCACCAGCCTAGCCCTTTTCAATAAACAGTAATCATCGAAATCGGTTGCCGTAGTCAAAAGTTATACATACACAAAAACTATTCCGATAATTTGTAAACATCCTCCTTTTTGAAGTCGGTTGAAAAAAACGGATTTCATGTTTGCAAAGCGCGAAAATTTATGCATTTACATATTTATACGTACGAAATATGCAAAATACATTTGCAATATACAAATGGATACAACTATCTGCTCTTGTAATAACGACCAAACTTTTACTTTTTCGTTGGCACTCTTTATTTTAATGTTATACTTAGTTTTTAAAATATTCAAAGTGTATCACAAAAACGGTAGTATCAAGTTTTCCAAGAAAGTTCAATAAAGCTTACTTGCCTCTCATTCCCGGTTCGATCTAAGAGCTCAAGTGGATTTATTGTACTATAGTGTTTCTATTGTGCAATAGTTCATAATTAAAGTACACAAAAATTTAAATTTAGCTACAATGTAGTTAAAGAGGTTAATCGTATGGTTTTTAATAACATGAACATATAAAATCTTAAATAAAGATCTGCCGTAATAAAATAGAAGTATAAAATTGTTAATACGATATACATTTATAAAACGAAGAGTAACTAATTATTTGAAGGCAATTAAAATATTTTCAACAATCGTCGAAATAAGTTCCTAACTCATATTGACGTCATTTCCAACTGGATGCAAATAATAAAGGGTAATGAGATCAAAAAAGGCATTACCTTCACCATACTCATACTGGTCTTACCATATATGTACGTTTACACAGTATTAACCATTGCTTGAATAAAATAACCGACGTCGGACATATAATATAGGTAAGTAAAATTTATGAAACATTACTGAAAAAAACAACTTCCAAATAATTTACTTTCGACATTGGAATGATATCGTTACAACCATTATACAAAAGAGAAGGTAGTTTCACTCAATGATTTTGGCCGCCATGTTAGCCATTTGACTTTTGCTGGCATTATGACATCTCTATCAAAATCAAGCTACCAGCTACAAAAAAAGAATTAATTTTTCAACTGCCTTTGAAAAATTTTCAAACAACAGATTTTAAAACGAAAAATCAGTCATTTTAATAAAAAAAAAAATTACGCGTTTGAAAGCAGTAGGAATCTTATAAATTTGTGCAAGGATTCCGGAGTAAAATTTTTAAAATTTTCTGGTTTACTAGAAATAAGTAGTTAGAAGCTTGTGACGTGAAGGAATTAAATCTTCCCGATATATAATAATATATTCAATATATTTCTTCAATTTCAGAGGTTTTGGGGAAACTGAATCTTATGTAAGTATATTATTTTTATACCCGAGCGCACTTGTGCACAAGGGTATTATAACTTTGTTCACATAACGGTTGTTTGTAACAGGCAAAACGAATCGAGATAGATATAGACAAATGTATACATAAATGATCAGGATGAACAGAGAAATCGATTAAGCGGTGACTGTCTGTCCGTCCGTCCGTCTGTCCGTCCGTCTGTCCACACGATAACTCGAGTAAAAATTGAGATATCTTAACGAAACTTGGTACGTGTACTTCTATCGGGCGTAGGACGGATAGTATTGAAAATGGGCAAAATCGGACAATAACCACGCCTACCTCCCATATAACGGTAATTTTCAGAAATACGAAAACTGCGATATTTTAGTAACTACTAAAGATTTTTAACTCAAAATTGATATTTACAATAATTTTTAGACGAAAAATAAGAATGTTATAAATTTTTGAAAAATGGGCGTAGCCACGCCCACTTATGGTTACGTGTGTATATCTTGGCAACCGCTGCACCGATTTCTTCCAAACTTGGCACATTTATTGGCCTTGGTACAGGATACCAAATGGCCGAAAATTTTTAAAATCGGACAATAACCACGCCCACATCTCATATAACGGTAATTTGGAGAAATACGAAATCTTCGATAAATCAGTAAATATTAAAGCCAATTTATTCAAAATTGATGCTTGCAACAATTCCTTACCAGGAAATACGTCTATAATAAAATTTTGAAAAATGGGCGTGGCATCGCCTACTTATGATCACATATATGTATCTCGGTAACCGTTCTACCAATTTGTACCAAACTCGGTATTTTTATTGTGCTTGCTACATAAAAGCAAAACTATGAAAATGATTGAAATCGGACTAAAATTATGGCTTTTCATATAACGGTAAATTTTAGAAATGCTTGAAACGTCAATATTTTGAAACTTAAGGACGCTAATTTACTCAAAATTGATACACCCTGGCTTACCATGTAGCGGTAGCTTTCGGAAAGGTGAACATCATATATTTAGTATTTGCGCCGGGTATTTAATGTTCGGCTCCACCCGAACTTAGACTTTCTTACTTGTTTTATATACATTCGATTGCATCACTCGCCATACAAAAAAACCGGTACTGTTTTTCCATTGGAATTATAGAATCTATAATACTCTAAGACCTGCACCAAACCATTTCGGAAAAATATTAAAATTTACGTGAGCTGGCCCGTTTTGAAAACACCTCCTTGGTTTTTTTGTGAATAAAAATATTAAAAAAAAATTCAACAGAATCCTATTAATTAAATTTTTATGCTGTTTTAGATTTTTTTTCGAAGATTGGTTTATGAAAAACTTAGTTAAATAACTCTGTCAAAACCTCACCTTTTCAGACTTGTAAGGTATCAATAGAAAAAGATTTCCTCACTATTTTTATATCTTGACATATTTTAATTCAAAGTATGAGTGTCATTCCAACTTTAATTAAGATGTGTTGATATTTGAAAAAATTCAAATTGGGATATGAATGAGTTTTTTCGCAAATAAATAAAGGGTGAGAAAATACCTTTCCACTGATACCTCATAAGCCTAAATCGATATGGTTTTGGTCCAGTAACTTAATTTTTCCAAAACCTATCTTTGAAAAAAGTTAAAAAACAGCATCAAAAATCTCATTATTATCATTCCGTTGAAATTTTTTTAATATTTTTATGCAGATTATTTCATTTTAAATTGTTTTGTCGTCCAAGGGGAGGTTTTTTTCAAAAAATCTTTTAAAAAAACAATTTTTATTTATGCAAATTTTTGGAGGTATTTTCAAATCGGTCCAGCGCACGACCATCTAATCATAATTCTTACACATTTCTAAACTCCAAAACTCCAAAAAAATACTATTTAGAATTGTCTGAAAAGACTAAGACCATTAACAGTAATAAAAAGTCACATCCCAAAATACCATCAAATATATTTTGTTAATATTAATGTGGCAACGCTGCTTCTAAAATGTACAATTTATGAAAAAAATGCCTTTATCCGTCAAAAGAGTTTGGAGTGAAATTACCTTCTATTTTTTTATCATGGTTACAACTATCTATGTATATTAATGTCAATGCATATAATAACCATACACATACACATTTATTTAAGCAAGTACTAGGTACGTTTTTAATGTTTATTAGCTACCCCTTAATAGCATAAGCTTGCAACAAACAAACCCAAATTTTTGTAAATTAATCAATAGTATTCCAGACGGTGCTTGAGTAGGCTAAACACAATGTGTAGTTATATCAAACTTGGTCTAGACCGGTCAAGTAGTTTTCGAGATAAGCATATATTATGTAAGTGGGCGATGCCACGCCCACTTTCCTAAAATTATATGAAAAATTAATTTTTTGTTTGAGAGCGACTGCACCTACTGCTCAGAAAATCTGAAGTCTGGTACATACACACAAATTCAAGACCGCATTTTTGCTTAAATTGCTTAGCATTAACAATTTTTATGCAATTGCATTAAGAGGGGTACCAATTTATTCGAAAATAAATGTTATTTTAGGTAAATTTTTTTGGTAAATGTTTGGCGACTTTTATATAAATTTTTGAAATCAGCGATGTTCAAATTTGAAAAAAAAAAATAAGAAAGATAGGGGTTATCAAAATTTAACTGATGAAAACTCCCAACAAGCTAAGTGTAGCCACATATTGTTATACACAATTTTAAAATTGCGGCCGCAGTGGTATAATGGTAAGCAGGGTGCACTTCCACTCCGCAGGGCCTGGGTTCAGGCCCTGGTCAAAGCAACATCGCAAAAAGATCTAGAAAAAATATTTTTTCTTAACAGCGGTCGCCCCTCGGCAGGCATGGGCAAACCTCCGTGTGTATTTCTGCCATAAAAATACAAAGCTCGGCCAAACACTAAGATATGTGCAAGCAACAATCTATCCGGTATCCGGATTATCCGGCCTTTTTTACGTTATCCGACTATACGGCCGGGTACTGCTTAAAATCCGGCAGGATTTCCGGATTTCGATTACAGAAGATTCTATTTAAAAATTTGGTTCAGATTTTATTTTTATTTTTATAATCAAATTTAATCATAGTATGAAATTAGTAATTGGAGTTAAAAATTTATATATTTTTCATTAAAAAAAGCATTTCCGCATACTGGTCAAGAACCCATTTATATTTTCAACATAAATGCTACCCGATGCAAAGTACTCTTTTCGAGTTCACTGAGGAAGGTGGTTCGCAGCGATGCTTCATTGCCGGTGGGTGTAAACAAATTTGGAAATTCTTTGCGACTATAAAAATAATAGATTGGTGTTTACACATTTGTTAGCGTTTGAGCGGGCTTCTCGTCCGATTTGTTACGTTCGTATTGATGTTGTCACACAAGGGGAGGGACCTGTTTTCATGGCAGAAATACTCTCGAAAGTTTACCATTGCCTGCCGAGGGGCCACCACTATTAGAAAAACTTGTTTATGCTGGGTTGAACCGGGCTTGAACCCAGCCTAACCGCTGCACCAAAGCGGACGTCTATGATTCCACCAAATGAAAGGATCTTCTTGTCTGGGTATGTCCTCAAAGCATTGCCAATTATCCTGGTCTCACCCTCCAATAGAATCTTTTACAAGAATTCGGCCTGTTTCATATGATTCAGCAGGTTTCTCCATGCTAACTGATTTATGGTCCATGTTATGAGTCGCATTTGATTTTCGATCTTCGCTGGTTATCGAAGGTCGAATATGAAATTCGTATTATGAGCTATGCACCGGTGTCGAAAGTTTCGTTGAGTATCGAATTTTCTGTGGAACAGAATTTTACTTTTGATGCTGTGTAAAAAATATATGATTTTGCGTTTGTTTTTGCGTTTTGGCGGCTAGACATCAATTTTTATTAAAATCATGCAGGTGTGACGTCGCACGGTGCGGACGAAATCCAAAAGTGCGGGCCAAATTCGAGGCTTAGAAATAATGATTCGAAATTTCGTACCAGAGGGTTTTCGGGGTCACTAATTACTAATTTGCAAAGTTCAAAATGGCGGATCCAGTATGGGGCTGGTAAATTTCGAGCTTTTTAATTAGATTTCTAAGAAAGATTTTGAGTATGTAGTTTTATAGCCCATTCAATTTTAGTGTAACAAAGTCCAAGTTTAAAGCGGCTGGGACTTGCCGTTGATTTTTGAAAATTTTCTTGTGTTGACGGTGCCAGCCATTATCTTCCATACGAAGTATATTCGATGATACGAAGACAGCGTTTTGTTACTGTTGCACACAACTCAAATTTTGTTTAAAAATAAACGAAAAATACATTTTACATTTTTATTTCTTAAAAATTTCTGTTACAGCATTAGTTTGCACAAATTTTTTAACGTATTTTACTAACCTTCAGATGTAGAATCCATTTAACACGTTAATAATTTTTCGCTTTTTATTACAATAACTAGCTGCACCCTGCCACGCTTTGCTGTGGCATATTCCTGTTACATAGATGAGAAATGATTAACGCAACAAAGCATACGTAGCATATAAGTTTGATTTTGTAATACATA